CGCACCGGGAACCGTGAAGGTGCAGATGTGCGGATCTTTAGAAAGACCGAGAGATAGTGTTTTTTAGAAGTGTATACTATGGTAAGGAACGGGGAACTGTCCAAAAAAATTTGGTGAAGTTCAGAAAAAATATATTGCAAAGCTATATTTCTTTTATTTTATTATGTCACATCACCATTTATAGTACTGTACATAGGTAGACTTTGGTAAAAAAAAAAGTCATTTTATACAACTCTATAAATAGGAATTTGAACTTGGTTTCAACTTCTGTATGTCCCATGAATGAAACTATATTTGGTAAATTATACAACTTAAAAAAAATAATAAAAAAAATTAAAATAAGCAAACAAACAGGTTTTCTAAAATGTTTTAAAAGTAGGACACCTATTTTTGAAACATGTATTGTCTCTTTACACCTATGAGGCAAGCGTAGCGTGTCTGCCAACATTAAATGAGACGTGAAGCCAACATGATGGGTGAAAACAAAAATAGACTAGAAAAGAATATGTCAACACACATCGAATTACCGTAACTCAAGATTATACTTCACATTGAAATTAATGGAACAAAATCATTGGATAATGTGGGCTATATACAGTAGCACCACTCGAGTTGGACGGCCACCAATAAATACTTTCTTTGCAAAGTTAGAAAATAAGAACCAGGTAGGTGTTGGGGATGTTTTCAAGCGTTGCGAAACAGACAGTGTAAACAAATGTCTTCCATCGCCATTAAGTTGACCATTTATTGTTATTACTTTTAAAGGAAGAACAAATGCTAGGCCAATAATGAAATCATTTTTGGTACAATACTATTTAGTTTCTGACAAATTTTCTACTAAGCACAAGCTCAATTACACAAACTGCATAGGTTCTCTGTCTATCAAGTGTACATTGAACCTATAAGAAAGTCCGGTCTATTGATCAATGCAGTTCAAGATTGCAACCACAATAAGAGTTAATGAAGTGCTGATTTGAAATTCCAATTACAGTTTGAGAAATAGATACACATTCTATGAGACAAGAAAAATATAAATAATGAACACACAAGGCATGAATGGGTTTTGGAAACAGTTTATCACAAAAAAATCTATTACTTGATTGACTACACACAGCTAACTTCGTACGTCTCCACCCTCAACCTGCTAAATAAAACAAATTTGCAGCAAAAACAAACAAAGAAACACATATTTCGCTCTGCAAGGACATCAGCTACAAATGTGGCATTTTAGACTGAAGAAGGGGTACTATATGTGCTCATTACACTGTCTTAATCCTAATTTTAAACTATCTATAATTCATAGTGATTATATTTAATCTGAGCATTGCACACCACCTTACTCTGTTATTCAATAAACACAATAACAATCATAAACAAAAAAACAAACAAAAAACAAATTTCTTGCTTGTCACTTGAAAGAAAGCAACATACTAACTACAAAAACAAATAACTGAACAAATAGCATCAAAAAAGAACAATTTCAATCATTCACTTCATTATTAACTACACATGCAGTTGTGAAATAAATTAATAAATAAGACTTGCAGTATCAAACATATAATTGTGATATAGAAACAAACAGAAGTTACATCAAAATTGGATTTTCACCTCAGAACACTGTATGTAACATGGAGATCAAGATTAAAAAAAAGAAGAAAAATCTGGATTAAATTCCAGGCAGTTATAAGTTTGTCTAAGTTTAATCATAGATTGATAGCGAGTCTTTAGCTTTAAAAGCAAAGACACAATTTCTTACATGATGGAAAACTTTCACATTTGGCACAATGAATAGAACAAGAGGATAAATCAAAGCAAGGGATTATTTTTTAAATGAGGCATGTCAAAATTAGGACCTTACATTGAATACAAAGACTTAATTGCAAGTGTGTCAAAGATTCTGATCAAACGCCTAGAATTCGATGGTTTAGGATAACAAAGGAACAAATTTATCAACCCACATGTGCAAGAGCGACAGTTCTCAGTATTGCTACAAGTATCCAGTCTATAAAAACACTACATTCATATGATCAGACTTAAAAGCTCTAATGACAGAAACAAAAAATAATAAAAAACACCATAATGCATTACAATTAAGCACAACAAAATTGATGGTACACCTGAAAAGCAAAATCAGAACTGGCAGATTCTAAAACTGAAAATCCTCCACAGTGTTGGGAAAAGATTTACAGGAGATGCTTCTTGAAAAATTGTCATTTGAAGCAAGCTACAAAACCAATAATGTAAAGTCAGAATTGGATCACACATACATAACAGAGCTTCATAACTTAACAGACTTTTGATGAACTACACATTTAAAATGGGCAGTGTCACAATTCAGTTAGGAGAATTTTCCTGTCTCAAACACACACACATACACACACACACACACACACATGTGATATTTGATAAATTTTTCAAACAAGTGAAATCAAGTATTGGCTTTGTTTTAACGATTACCTAAGACTATGTTGCAGTTTCTTCTTCTTGTTTACGGTTGTATTCAGCCAAAGTTTGTTTGATAGTGTTAACTGAGTACTTACAAGTTGGTGCTCCGCATGTACATGTAAATGATTTGTACTTAATTATCCAAAACTTATCACCATAATCAAACCTGAAATAAAAGTTCAGAGTTTATGTTAGAAACATTTTCAAAAACATACAGTTAAAAGTTAAAAAGAATGAGTCTATACCCTAATTCTTCATGTGGCTGAATATCTCTGTTGGCAAAAAATGCAATACGAGGGAAGTGAAGGTCATGATGCCCCATGAAGACTCTTACAGGCTGAAGATTTGGTGCGCACATGTGGTTTATAAACCGTGCAATATTTCCATAGCGGCACGCATCAATGCAATATGTCTCACCATCCTACAAAGCACATCAGACATGAATAGTTTGCCAAAGAAAATTTATTAATAGATCCATTAAATTATCCACTCACTCTATTATCTAAGTCAAACAAGTATGAGTCATCTTCCCTCTGATCAGCTTCACAATCTGAAATTATTTCTCCAATGTATCTGAAAAGAGATGTAGTAATTTAAGACGCATTAATTCTATATTCACCAGTATTAAAACAAAAAATTGGTTAGAAAACTTTTGAAACTTACTCGCAAACATAAGTTCCCTTGGGAATTAGAGTCAATGTACGAACACCCCATCCTTTGCCAACAGTGCGGAATAATTGGAACCGAGCTTTGAATCCCCTTTGAACAACTCTATTTCTACAAAGTTTTACGTTGCAGGAGCACATTTCATTACATTCAAATAGCATGGGAGGGTCTGAAAAAAAATAGATAGTTAAAAACCACTTTTTAACAGAAAGCTAGTAGTTTAAGTGGAATTACATTCACATTCAACATTTGAGACTTACCAAAGAAATTGAATTCAGGCAAAAGTTTTCCCTCAGAATCATACCATGATTGCAAGCTGAGCTGAGTACATTTACAATTGGCCCCAACACAGGAGTCTTCACAATCACACGACTGCAACCAAAACAATTTCTTTAGTGTGTGGATATTAAATCAAGAAATTGTGTTTTGAAAGCGGAAAGAGATTAGAATGGAATCTACCTGCAAAGATGTAATGGTACGGTCTACATGGATATTTGAAGTGAAACAATTTTTAGTAACATATACATAATCTCGTGGTTCACACTCATCATCCACAGCATTCAAGCACTGTATTTCACTTTCTTCTTTACCTCGAGTGATGTCACTAAAACCAAGCATGAATTTGTGAGTACATTCAAAATTAACAAAGAGGTACATAGCAGTGATTCAATGTACCACTTTGAAAGAAAGCAACTTACTTTGAAAGAATTTTATTGGTCCTTTCCTTAGAAGACTTTGTCATTTTCCTAAGTTCAGCAGTTGTGTTGATAGCATTATAGCAGTCTCCACTCTCTAAAGCACAATCTATAGCTTGCTGTCCAATCACATTTGCAAGATCGGGCTTAGCCCCACGTGAGAGGAAAAGAAGAACACATTGCAGGTTGTCTTGGCGTGCAGCTACATGTCTGAAAACAGGAACCATTGATTGATTGATTGGACCGAAGGGGGAGTTACACTAACCAGGAACACAATTGACAAGCGTTACCACTTTTATTTGGTATTTACTTACAAGGGACTATCTCCATGGATGTTCAAACAGTTAACATCACATCCATGATTAAGAAGCCTTTCTGAAATCTCTTCACTGCCAGAGAAGGCAGCCCAATGCAGTGCTATATTTTCCTCGCTATCACGTAATAAAGGATCTGCACGTTTTTCTAAGAGATATCTGTAAAAATTTTCAAAATATGTTTAGTGAAATTTTGTTTCAGTGATTCATGATTATCTCTCATTAGAACTGTTTATTACCTGGCAACTGTAACATGGCGAAATTCACATGACCAAACCAAGGCTGTCCACCCTCCATCATCCTTAACATCAATATAACCCAGAGGAGCTTTTCCATTTGTTAGGAGACAATGACAGGTTTCTAGATCTCCACGTTTGGCTGCAATATGTAAAGCAGTCATTCCATCTGATCCCTGAAAAGTAATTGAATATTAATTGTAGCAATTATAATTGTTTTTAACACAACTCTAAACTAATGTTGCAGCTATATTACAAAAAGATGTTTATAAGAGTACCTGATGGGTCACACAAGCGCCAGCTTTGACCAGGTATTGGACAATACGTGTGTGACCATTAAGGGAGGCAAGCATGGTTGGAGTCATCAGATCACCATCTTGAGGATCAAGCTGAGCCCCTGCTTGTACTAAAACATGAACAGCTAGCACGTGGCCCTTTTCTGAAGCAACATGTAAAGCTGTACGCATATTTATTTCACGGAAGATATGATTAGGATTGATTCCATGTCCTGCAATTATTTAATTTATATTACCAGTAGCCAAGCACAAGCAGTCATGATAACCACTTGAAATACAGGAAAAAAATAAGCACGCATGTTCTACAGTATAAACAAACTTACTAATTATTCCAATAATTTTCTCAGAATCGCCTGACTTAGCGGACTGATAAAGATGTTTTGCTGAATACCTGAAACACGCGCCAAATATTACAAATAGGTAGGTTTTTACTTCTATTCTACAATCTAAGCTAGTAAATTTGGCAATTGTTTTAAATCAAGTTATTATTTATACCTAATTAAAATACTTCTGTCTGGGCAAAAGATACATTTTTTTCTAATATGATATTACAACTGCATGCTTAACAAATTATATGCACTCCATGCAAAAAATACTGATTTGGCTTGAGAAAAAAAAAGGGGAATTTTTTATTTAAATGCATTAACTGCATTAGAACTGCAGCTACTGGTAAAGTAATTATCAATAACTGAAACCTACACTAACTACTGTTACATGTACACAGTATACAGTATGTACAGAACAATTCAATACAGGTAACATTAAGTAGGAACTGGATGCATGAACACTCTTTCAGACAATTTGTCAGAAGTTGAAAACGTATTAATTATCTTTGCCAATGAACAAAAAGATACAAAGATTTATTAATGAACTACAAGCAGAGAAGTACTACTCAAGTCGGGACTTTTACCTTATTGTTTTATGCAAACAGCCAAGCCTAATAGTTCCTGTTTTACTTAAGTGCAGTGAATTTCTAAGTGGTACTATACTGGCAGATAGAATTACTGAAATAACTTCCCCAGCAAGTTTACAATACAGTTTTGATGTTTTCTCCTGGCTAAGTGAAATTATAGGTCGAAGACTTAAAATTGCAAATTCCATAACACACAATATAAATTTGCCAACAAAACATAAATTTTGTCCAAAAACTGAGACATGAACAAAGAACAAGTGGATTGTTAACAGTAGTTAACAATAGATGGACATGAATTGAGGGTTAGTCACAAACAATATGTTATTATAGTATCTGGTTAAAAAAAAATATTAAAATAGAATTATCAGTAACATATCTGCCAATGCAAGCTAAAGTAAAAACAAACCTTGGCAAATGGGCAGAGCGCCCTTCACCGCGCATACTACAAGCACCATTTACAAATTTCTCTAACTTTTCTCTTTCTGCTTTGTCCAAGACTGTTGTTGCTATGGGAAGGGTCATAGCAATGCTGTCAGGCACATCCTCAGGTTGATCTTGAGAGGTAACACTGGAACCCAGGCTCATCCTTGCTGATGGCCTAAAACAAGGAGAAATTTAATTATTGATACATTACTGTGCAATCACTTGTGCCAAACACATGTTTCTTTAGACACTTACGTTTGTTTGACAAGCTTCTGGTGAGGAAGGAATACTGGGTATTTCTTGACACCCAAACTTATGCTGACTTCATCCGGAGGAGACTCTAACCCACAATGAGGACACTGAGGCTTTCCAGCAATCATAAGTTGACAATCACGATGATAGTAGTGTAGTGAAGGGCACTGAACAAATCGCCCTTGTGTGCAATAGTTTCCACAACCAGGGCAGCAGTGGTGCCTTAATAATCGCTGCCTATGCTGCTCACACACCACAACATAAGGAACACGAGGGCTAGGCCGGTACAGTCTTGCTGATTCACTACCACCCACAGCATTGCAGCAGCCAATCAGACGTCCCTCCAAGGAATCAACAGCTTGGCACATAAGACTAAGGTCAGTTTCCTCAAAAGTCTCTTTACGAACATATAAATTAGTTTTTGATTGGCATAAACACAACCCAGCAGTCCCAGCCTGGCAATAAAAAGAAGTTATCATTTTATGAAAACAAATTTAGAATATGACAGTACACTATTGTAATTTTGTATAAAGGCTGTCACTTACACCAAATGAAATAGCTGTCGATTCTGGATGATTCGCATCTGCAGGAGTATCTCCAGGACTTGGTGATGGGGAGAGAGGATTATCTACAAAAAATGAAAAATAAATAAAAAGATAACATCTACTTGCAAATGTATGACCGTCTGTATCACCAAAAATCATTTAACATACCCCGTCTACTTTTCTTGGCCTTAGAGGTACATGCATCGCCTACTGCAGGACTACGACTACGGCTCTCTGAGGGGAAAAGTTTCATTAAGAAGGTATTTTTGATAAACCATACACAGCCATATTAAAGACTTATGACTTACTTTCTGAGGTTACGCCATTAATTCCTTTTTTAACTGAAGTAGAGTTTGAAGATTTGTTTTTGAGTGGTGGAGAACTCTCTTCAAAGTGAAAGTCAGAAGAGACATTTCTTTGAGAGGGAGCAGAGCGTCGAAAGACTTTGGACCTCTTGGTGACCCCACTGAAGGAATACCTAAGACCCCGAAATGGTTTGTAGCGACGTTTGCCAGTCTTTGTATGTGTGCAATCTGCATCTGATTTGACAGATGATGGTTTAGAAATGGGTTGAGGTGCTGAATCAAAATCCATTTTGGAATCTTCTTTGGGTACATCATTTATGTTATCAGTTTGAGATTTCAATTGCAAAGAGTTCTTTGATTTACCTTCTGATGTTGATTCGGCAGAACTAACAGACAAAGTATCCTGTGATTTGCTTTGAGACCTTTTCCCAACAGACAAGGAATTTCTACCCTCCCTCAAGCTACGAGCAATAGCTTTGTGGGCTTTGTCATCATCTGATTTTCCAATAGAACTTAAGGACTTTTCTTTTCGAGCAATAGCATTTTGAAGAACAGTTTCTCCTTCTTTGGACCAACGCCTTGCAGACCTCTTACGGCCTGAAGCAGGGGAGTCCCCTTCAGATCCTGTCTCTGAGCGTGTAACAGAACGGTTACGTAGGGCTCTCTTTCTAGCTAAACGTTTTTTATTGTCCTCTTCATTTTCATCCATACCTTGATCCAAGGTAGATGAAGGTAAATCGACATTGGGAAGTATTTTCTCAGTAGTAGTTTGCTTTGGCTCACTCAAATCCTTATTGTTAGATGCAGCTGATATGGGCAAGGCACGATTAGGTATAGAATTGCACTTCAGATGTAAAGATTCTGAATCAACACTGAACGTTTCCAATTTTTTTTCAGATCTTCTTTTGTTTACTTCTGGTTTAACAATATTACCTATGTCTCCTGGTTTGAAACTATTTTTGCTGTTAGATTGGTCTTTCTTGCTGTTATTTTTTTTCTCAAGTTGAGAGTCTGAAGCACTATTTTTAACAGAAATAGGATCTTTCTTGCTGCTTGGTTTGACATCTAAAATGGAGTCAGAATTGCTTTTACTTATTATAGGAATTTTCTTGGCACTGCATTTGTCATCCACTAGCTCTGATGTACTGCTTCTGCTACTCGGTGGTTCAACTTTGGCATTGGATTTATTTTCTACATCAGCAACATTAGTGCTACTGGTTGGGATATTCTTTTTACCACTCTTTTGATCTAATACAGCATCAGAGTGAGTTCCTGAAGAGGTCTTCTTAATACCTTTACTGTCTTCAGGTGGCAGAGGTGTAGCATTGTCCACAGAACTATCATTTTGAGAATCCGGATCTGGTGACTCTTTGGGATCTTTTAACACAGGGTTGAAATTACTCTTCATTGCATTAAGAACATACTTGATGTGGGGCTTATCTTTGGATGACTTGTCGCCATTTGGCCAATGTATTCGAAATGAATTTGGGTTGCTCATTTGTGCTTGACAGTTTAAATCCTGGAAAAAAAATTAAGCCATAAGAATAGTTCTGCAAAGAAAAATGAGTAAACATGCAAGTACAATAAAACAAAAAAATGTTAAGACCACAAGCGCCAAACGTCGGTATTCAGTTAGTACAAGATGATTCAAGATAGATTACAGCAAATGTGCCAGAATAACCTTACAAGACCTGCAGACATCACATAAGCAAGATAACTATAACCTAAATCATATCTGAAACCAGACTTCAGGGCAAGGAAACTAGAAGCAGTGGCTGAAAAATTAACGTCTAATTTGGAAAGGGACACTCGCCCGCAACGAAAAATCGGTGCGAGAACGCAGCGCACCGCTGTTTTGTATTGTAATTCATCCGGCGTTATGAATGCCAACAACACCGTCCAGCACTGTAAACAACGCCGAACACCTCCACCGGAGCGCTTTCATTCAACCGCAAAAAGCCTTGGGTCCGGCCCGCGCCCGCCCCCCGGGCAGCGACCCGCGGGCTACAGAGAGACGTTTGAAACCCGTACCTGTTTTACGGGAAATACACTTGCTACCCCTTTTATGCTTGACGGGTCCGTGTCACCACCGCCATGTTCTCTTGCGTTGGCCGTGCGCTGCGGGCTGCGCGTCGGACGCGTCGGCTGCTGTCGGCTCGGCTGGGGGTCACGTCCAGATCGCCCCTCTCGCTCTCTTTCTCGCTCTCGCTCGCTGAGCCCGGAGCGCTGTCCGAGAGAGCAAGAGGAGAGAGACAGCAGAGGCAGGCGCCGCGGTGTTCTGCGGGCTGCGTTCAGCCTTCACTAGCGGGGGCTCCGGGCTCCGGGCCTTCGGGCCGCCGTGAGGGGAGGGACAAGAAGGGTGGCCTGTGGGGGCGGGCGGGCGCGGGCGGCGTCCACCAAAAGAGAAAACGCAAATGCAAGAGCTATCGAACACATCTTTGGAAATGATGTTCTCATTTATTTGGTTTCGGGATATCCGAAAATAATGTGGATTTATGAGTACACGCTGAGCGTCAGATCCCCCCTTTATCCTTGACGCGACGCCCCGGCTTAGTTTAATCTTGATTCCCATCGGATAATGTGTATCTTCGCTCGGCCTAACGCAATGCGCCAGCACATATCGGCTCACTTTTCGCCGTCGATTCCGTAGTTTGGGTTTGCTTAAAATAGTTTGAAGTGAAATTAAAACTGGACTAACTGGAGCCAAACGGTGATTCTTCATTTGAGGGGCCACATCAAGACGGCACTTCGGTTGCAGGATGAACACGAGCACGGAGGGTCGGCTCGGCCGGCGCGGCCCGGGGCTTGTATCTTCGGCTTCAGCTCTGGCTAATCCCCGCGGATTGCTCGCGACGTGTCGCGGGCTGAGGAGGCGCGGCGCGGGGCCGCCAAGCCCGCGTCAGGACACCGAAAGCCTCAGTGCTGACCAGCCGCGGCACCAGCATACAACGCCATGAAGACCCTTTCGCTGTCCTGCCTGCTGGTGCTCGGCTGGGCCGTCTCGGCGGTAAGTGGTGATACCATAATGGTAACAGCAATATTATCGCGATTTGCGTGATTTTGTCCGATGAAAAACAACTCCGCTGCCGTAGTAACGTGGCGGAATCATTGTATTCATATTTGCCGTGAGAGAACCATGCTTTCCGCGAGTTACGTTTTCAAGCTCGGGAACCTATCATTCTGTGAGAAATTTACATTATTACGCAAGGAGCAAAACAGAGGGCAATCGGGAGCATTTCGATTGATAATCATTTTGACAGCGTTGTCGGCTGAATGGTCCTTCCCTAAAATCTCCCAATCTGGAGTGATGTTACACGATCTTGAAAATGAACATCCCCACCCTACCCGTACTACCGTGCTCATTATTTGCTCTCCTTGTGTGTCGACCAAAGTATTTCTCGTATTTCTGCTCCCACTTTCTGTCGAGCCCTCCCCTCACGTGCCGATCGAGTCCGCTATCAGAGGCGCGGAGTGGGATAATCCACCTCCACATCCATAATCTGTCATTCCCTGAAACTCGCGACATGTACACCAAGCAGTGGCTGATTAACCCCGCGCACTTCTGTTAGTTATGCTGCATCTGCACGTGGCATACTGCGTGCGGGCGGGTTGCCTACTCGCTCGGTCTGTATGGCCAAAGATGGGCAAACCCGCCCGCACTCGTGCAGTACAAGCACAGAACTGCGCGCGGAGTCTATCAGCCACCTGATATCGTCACTCCCAGGTGGCTGATGAACCCCGCGCACTTCTGCAGTTACACTGTATACCTCAGGCTCGAGTACGGGCGGTCTTGACTATCGCCCCTGTACACGCCACGGTGCCTTACGAGCCGAGCGAATAGGCAAGCCCGCCCGCACTCTTGCGTGCGGTTCAGTGTAACAACAGAAGTGCGCGGGGTCAATCAGCCACCTGATATATCGTCCTGCTGCCACGAGGACGAGGATTACAATGGACTGGAGAAGGATTATTGCCCACCTAGAGAGCGGGATGGGTCGGTCTGAACCCTGATCCCCTGGAACCGCTGGTGGGTTGGCGGTTTGTCCTACAGTCCACCTAAAAGTAGGCCAAAAATGCACGGCTCGGATAGGGGTGTGTATTGAATGTTACCGCCGTCACCGTCACTTCCATTTCTTCTCCAGGAGCCGCTGCTGAAGGCCGGCATACCGCTGCTGCCCACGCTGGAGGAGCAGCGGCTCCTGCTGTCCGAGGCCCGCGCGCACCCCGACAGCCTGCACCGCCTGCCCAGCCCCGTGGGGGTGGTGGGGCGCCCGCAGCAGCAGCACGGCGGCCGCGCGCCCCGCAGCCTGGCCGAGCTCAAGGTCAACAGGACCCGGTCGTCGTACGTGCGCGCAGACCCGGCCGTCCCCAGGGCGCCTCGCGAGCCGCAGCCAGGTTAGCCCCAAGTCGCACTGGGTGCGGGTGGGTTGCCTTATGCGCTTGGAGCCGCAAGGCATGGAGACGAGACGATGCGGAAACCCGCCCGCACGCCTGGGGTGCTGGCCACCCACCCGGTACTCCTGTACTGCTCGCGCACCCGAAAGTGATTCGGTCATGTTGAAGTTTGACGTCCGACTTGTGCAGCCTCGGCTGGGCGCGTGTCGGCCGGCCTGCGCATCATCAACGGTAACAAGGCCGTCCTGGGCCAGTTCCCCTGGCAGGCCGGCATCCTGGCCGACTTCGGCGCGGGCGGCAAGGCGTGGTGCGGCGGCTCCATCGTGCACAGCCTGTGGATCCTCACCGCGGCCCACTGCGTCGACGACCAGTGAGTGTTGTTCCCCGTGACAGCGGGGCGCCGTCCTCTACAGACATTGTATGGGCCTGTCCACCTGAGACATATGACTCATACGACCAATGTTTCGTACAGGGCCGACAGCTACACGATCTCGGTGGGGTCCCTCGGGAGCGAGGAGGGCTCCGAGCCCAGCAGGATCGTGTTCAAGAAGTTGAACGAATTCTACCAGCACCCCGCGTACAACCCCTACTTCATCGACAACGACGTGGCCCTCATGAAGGTGCCCACGCACATCACCTTCAACGCCTGTGAGTTGAGTCGCCTGCCGCGCGGGGTATAGCCGGCTCTCCGAGCAGGGCTTATCTCTGTCACGACGACGACACGATCGGCCATCGACCAGCCCAACTACTTGAACCCCTCTGACCGACACTGACCCCCCCCCCCTTTTCTGCTTCTCCCTCCTCCAGGGTGCGCGCCCGTCAGGCTGCCCTCCTGGTCCATGGCAGCCGACATGATGGTCGGGAAAACCGGCACCGTCAGCGGCTGGGGAAAGACGACTGATGGTAAGGGCACGAGTACCGCAGTAGCTCTCTCTCTCTCTCTCTCTCTCTCTCTCTCTCTCTCTCTCTCTCTCTCTCTCTCTCTCTCACACACACACACACACACACACTCGTGTGTGACTGTTTGATCAAACCTGTTTAAACAATCTTGGTGTGTACGTACCGGTTTTCACGCCTTTTGCTTTTCTGTCGATTGTTTGCGCGTGCAATCAAAAGAGTCGCAAAAGCAAACTCTCGCAGAGTCTGAGTTTCACCTTCATCGTGCTCTCGTTGCAGCTGACAAGTGGATCTCCAAGGACCTCATGTACGTTGAGAACACGATCGACGACGGCAAGGCCTGCTTTGACACCTACGGCAACTCCTATATCCCGAACAAGATCTGCGTGAAGACCACGGACAAGCGCAGCTTCTGCAGTGTACGTATATGGGGTCGTCCAGAGAGTGCGCCCGTTTTTCTCAGATTCTTTTGGCCAATTAGTTGATGACGGGAGTTCGGCGCCTGCGATACTTGGGGTAGGCCACACCGCAGTACTCGCGTGTACTGCAGGCAAGATGTTGCCTATCTACCAGGCGTTATGAGAGCTTACGGTTGAACTTGGCCGGCTCGTAAACGGCGAATGACGGGCGTACTTCCTACCGCTGAACGTAGCTGGCAGGCATAGCCGTGGACCGAAGACATCTGTCGCGCCAC